GGGGGGCCCCAAAACGCAGCTCTGGGGGGGCAAGGGTGCCTGCAGAGACCCCCAAATCAGCACCCCATTCCCCAAACCCTTCAGTGCCCCCCAAATCCCCAAACCACCTGTGTGCCCCCCCCCAATTGTCACCTGCACCCCTGAGCTCCCCAAACCCTAAAGTTCCCAAAATAGGGTGTAGGGGTTCCCCAACCCCTGGGGGTCACAGCCCCCTGCCAAATTCTCACCCAGACCCCTAGGGACCCCCAAACCCCAGTCCCACAATTGGGGGGGTCCCATACACTTGGGTGCCCTCCTAAATTAGCGCCTGAATCTCAGGAACCCCAAATTGGGGGAGGCTCCTGGATCCCTGGGTGCCCTCAAACCCCCAAAGTCCCCAAATTGGGAGGTCCCAAACCCCTGGGTGCCTCCCCAAAGCAGCACCCAGACCCCTTCTCCCCTCTCCCTGACCCCCGGGGGGGCTGTTCGGGGGTCCAGCCCCCCCCCCAGACCCCTCCAGACCCCCCCAAACCCCGGGGGGGGTCCCTGACCTGGAGCCTTCGTGTCCCAGCTCAGACGGACTCGGCTGGGGAGGGGCGGCCCCGCCCTGGGGCTGGGCGGGGGGGGAGGGGCTCTGGGACCCCACCCCAGCCTGACCCCCCCTCCAACCACCTCCCAAAAATTTTGGGGGAGTCCTGATCGAGGGGGGTTTTGGGGGTGGCAGAGCCCACCCGGCCCCGTGGGAGCTTGTGGGGTTTGGGGGGATTTTGGGGATTTTGGGGGGTTTTGGGGTTTGGGGGGGCGGTAACGGCACCGGGGCTGCCGGGGGCTGATAAGGCCTTATCAGATTTTGGGGCCCCGGCGGTTGGTTTGGGGGGGCCGGGCGGGGCCAGGGCCCTTTATCAGCCCCGGCCAGAGCGGGGGGACCCCCCCAAGGAGGGCAGGGCCTGCGTAAACACCGCGCCCCAAATTCAGGCTGACATCCCCAAAATTGGGTGTTTTAACCCCGAAATCAAGCAGTTTCACCTTAAATTACTATTTTTAGTCCCAGACTGGGAATTTCAGACACCAAACTGAGAATTTTAACCTTAATATCAGGACTTTGATATTTTTTGGTCCAAAATCCTTATTTTTGGCAACAAAGTCAGTATTTTTATTCCAAATTTGGCATTTTAAACCCCAAAACTGGAGAATTTCAACCCAAAAATGGAATTTTCAGCCTGAAAATTCTATTTTCAACCCCAAAAATAGGATTTTTTGGCTCAAAACTACAAATTTCAACCCAAAGTTGGTATCTTCACCCAAAGCTAGGCATTCTAACCCAAAATTGGGAAGTTTAAGATGAATTTGTGGTTATCAAGGTAAAGCCAAAAAATTTCACTCTAGAACTGGAGATTTACAGCCTATAAGATGGGATCTGCTACCGGAACTCAGGAATTTTCCCTCTAAAACAAAAGATTTTCAGGCCCACGTTTCCAAGCCCCAAAATGAGTTTTTTTTCTCCTCAACCTACTGCCCTCACCTGTGATTTGGGCTCAAATCCAGTGGTTTTGGGTCCAATCCATGCGTTTTTCATCCCTCGCTGCATTTCTGGCCCCAAATCTGACATTTTCGGCCCCAAATCTGACAGTTTTGGGTTGAATTTTCCCCATTTTTGCTGCTCCGTGCGCTGGTTTGGTGCTGCTCTGGGGGGCTGTGGGGGCTCAGGGGTCTGGGGTCCCTCCAAATCCGGGGGTCTGGGTGCCCTCCCCCAAAATTCGGAGGGCCCAGCAGCACCCCTGGGGGGTCAATAGGGCCCCCAGGGTGGGGAGGGGTCCCAGAGCTCCGAGGGGCTCATCAGGGGTCCCCAAAAATTGGGATGGGTGGGTCGATGGGGGTCCCTCAGCATGGGGGGGGGAAATGGGGGTCTCTCAGGGGGTCCCCAAGTTTGGGGAGGGGTCCCATGGCCCTATGGGGGGGTCAGCGGGGGTCTCCCAGGCTGGGGAGGGTCAGGGGAGTCCATCACAGGGTGCCCCAGTTTGGGAAGTCAGTGGGGGTCCCCATGGTGGGGTGGGGTCCCAGGGCCCCCGGGGGATCAGTGAGGGTCTCCCAGGGCATCCCCCGAATTGGGCAGGGGGTCTCAGGGCCCCGTGGGGGGGGAGTGGGAGTCCCTTGGGAGGTTCCCCAGGTTGGGGAGGGGTCTCAGGGCGGCGCGGGGAGGCAGCTCCAGTGCTGTGTCCAGGTTGAAGTCGGGGGGCTGCCGGGGCCCCCCCGGTGGCGGGGGCGGGGTCAGCTCCTGGGGGCCGAAGAAGAAGGGGTGCAGCAGGGCCTGGGGGGAGGGGAGGGGTCAGGACCTCCAAAAACGGGGAAAGGGGGGACCTGAGAGACCCTCCCCACTGAGGATCCTGGGACCATCAATCCCTGAGACCCTCCCCCCCAACACACCTGGGACCCTCCCCTAAATCCTCCCCAGCCCTCTGGGACACCCAGGCCCCTCCAGACCCCTCCAAACCCCCTCAAATTCCCCGAATGCCCCCCCACAGCTCTCACCAGGTGGGCTCAGGGGCAGAACCTCACCTGGTACCTCAGCAGGGCTGATCCAAGGCTCGAGACACAGCACCCCAGAACCCCCCCCAAGCCCCTCCCGGACCCCCAAATCTCCCCCCACCCTCACCTGGTGAGCTCGGGGGCGCAGGTGAGGGTGGTACCTGAGCAGGTGCTGCAGTGGGGCCGATCCAGGGCTCCAGTGGCTCCACCGTGGGGTACCCCAGCACCCCCAAAACTCCTCCAACTGCCCCCCAAACCCCTCTAGGACCCCCCAGGCCCCCCCAGGGTGCCCCAATCCCCCCCTGCCCTGACCTGGTGTGCCCGTGGCCGCAGCCGGGCCCGGTACCGCAGCAGCCGCCTCAGCAGGTCCAGCGCGGCCGCGTCGGCGCCCGGCACCAGCAGCTCCAGCGGCGGCGGCGCCTGCGGCTGGAACCGCAGCTTCGGGAAGTCCGGCAGCTCTGCCAGCTCCTGTGCCAGGACAGATGGGTGGAAACCAGTATGAACCAGTGCAAACCACTATGGGCCAGCGTAAACCAGTCCAGACCACTGTGCGAGCCGGTCCAGACCAAGACAAACCAGTCCAGACCAACAGAGACCAGTACAAACCAATGTGAACCACTGCAGGCTCCCCAGGAGCTCCCAGAACATCCCAGTGCATTTTTGGGGTTTCTCAGTACACCCCAGTGTATCCCAGCAACCCACAGGATGTTCCAGTAGCTCCCAGTACCCCCCAGTTCCCCCAGTAACCCTCAACGCTCCCTAGCAAAACATCAGCATCTCCCAATGCATTCTTGGGGCTCCCTAGTAACTCCCAGTACATCCCAGTAGCCCCCAGTAATTCCCCAGGACCCCCCAACGCTCCCTAGAAACATCCCAGTAACATCCAGCACATTTTAATTGCTGCCCAGCAGCTCCCAGTAGCCACACAGTTCCTCCCAGTAGGCCCCCCAGTAACCCTCAATCCTCCTTAGACCCATTCCAGTATCCCCCAGTGCATTCTCAGGATTCCCTAGTGCATCCCCAATGTTCCAGTTTCTCCCAGGAGCACCCCAAAACCCCTCAACACTCCCCAGCAATACCCCAGTATCTCCCAGTAACCTCCAGTATCAATCACCTCACACCATGTCCTGAGAGCTTCCCAGTACAGCCCAGTATGCCCCAGTAGCCTCCCAGTAACCCCAAACCCACCCTTGCACCATTCCAGCACTCTCCAACATCTTCCCATGGTTTCCCATTGCCTCTCAGAAGCCACCAGTATGACCCAGTGCTCCCAGTATCCTGCACTCCCTCTCTCCCATCTCCCAGCGCCCCTCACGCCCTTTCCCAGTGCTCCCAGTCCTGGGGGCACCCAGGTCGCTCAGAGCACAGCAGAGGCGCTCAGTGTCCTTTCCCCAGTGCTCCCAGTGCTCTCCAGCCCCTCTCCCAGTCACTCCCAGTGCTCCCAGTTCCCCCAGTACCGGCCAGTCCCGTGGGCTGGGCGTGCCAAGGCCCCTGAGCACACAGCAGAGCTGTTCAATGTCGTTCTCCCCAGGGAACAGCGGGGACAGCGTCAGCAGCTCCCCGAAAATGCAGCCCACGGCCCTGGGGGGACCCCGGGGTCAGGGGGGTCCCCAAATCCCAGAGGATCCCCTGAATCCCAAGGGATCCCCAAAATCCCAAAGGAACCCCCCAAAACCAGGCACCCACCACAAGTCCACACCCTCGTCGTAGTGTCGGGCGCCGTAGAGCAGCTCGGGGGCTCGGTACCACCTGGAAAAGGGGACTTGGGGTGGTCTTGGCTTTTGGAGGGACACCCAGACATCCCAGGTGGGGACACCTCAAAATTCGGTACCTGGTGGCCACTTGGTGGCTGTAGGGGCGCCCTGGGGAGGGGCCCAGCACCCGTGCTAGCCCAAAATCCGCCAGCTTGAGGTGCCCAGCGCTGTCCAGCAGCAGATTGGCCGGTTTGAGGTCCTGCACCCCAAAACCGGGGTCACGGGGGGCCCCCAATACTCGGGGTACCCCCACAGTGCCCCCCAGACTGGAAACAGGGTCCTGCTGCAGCCATGTACTGGGTGTCCCCACCGAGGTTTTGGGGAGCTCCCCTCGATCTTGGGATGCCCCCGACACCCATAGCCCCCCTGCAGATATTGGGGTCCCTCTCGGGTCTTTGTGCCTACCCGGGTCTTGGGGTATCTTGCAGCTGTCTGAGCGCCACCCTCTGATTTTGAGGTCCCCCCATTGCCTGGGTGCCCCCAGCCCACTTCTGGGGTGCTCACGTGGTGTGGGAGGTACTCCTGGTGCCCCCCCCAATTCAGAGTCCACTCCAGTTTCAGGGTTCCTCCCATTTTTAGGACCCCTTGTTCTTTTGGGGTCCCTCACTTGGTGCAGCAGGCGGTGCCAGTGGCCCCCCCGTTCCCGATTTCCCCCCTGGTTTTTGGGGTCCCTCACCCGGTGCAGCAGGCGGTGGCCGTGCACGTGGCCCAGCCCCCGCAGGGTCATGGCGAGCAGGGCCCGCACGCGGGGGGGAGGCAGCGGGGCGGGGGCCGCACGCAGGAGCCCCCCCAGGTCCCCCACGAGCAGCTCCAGAGCCAGAACCACCGCAGGGCCCTGGGCAAAGGCGGCCCGGAGCTGGATCACCTGCGGGGACAGCAGTGGGGACATCGAGGGCATCGGGGAGGGACGTCAAGTGGGGTATCAGGGACATTTGGGACACTGGGGACACTGAAAACTGGAGGGGACGTTGGGGTCAGTGACACCTGGGGGAGGACAGCAGAATTTGAGCTGGCTCACCGGCGGGAGGGGACATCGAGGGGTCACGGGGACATTGAAACTGGGGGGAGACACAGTGGGGTCAGGGGGACACCACGACTGGGGACATGGGGGGGGTTCATGGAGACCCCGAAATTGCGGAGGAAGAGGGGAGGCCAGGGGACCCTAAAGAAGCGGGGAAACCCTGAAATGGGGGAAAGGTTGTTTGTGGGGCATGGGGCGTTACTGAGGGTAACCAGGATTTTGGGAGAAGGGAGGGGGGACCCCACACCCTGCTGGGGGTGCACTGAGGTGGGCTTCGGGAGCAACAGGGACTTAGGGGAGCACAGGTGTTGGGGTCCCCCGGGGTCCGGGGGTCACTCACATGTGGATGGGCCTCGATCTCCCGCAGGGCCTTGATCTCGCGCAAGGTCTGGGGGGGCAGCCCGTCCTCGGGGCGCCGCAGGGGCACCTTCTTAAGGGCCACCAGCTCCCCGGTCTGAAGGGGGACACGGGGGGCTCAGGGGGGCGCTGGGGATCCCCTGCCCCCACACAGGCCGCGCCCAGCGCTCAGGGCCGACGGGCCGCGGCACCCCCGGCCCCACAGCCCGAAGACACCGGCCCCCGGCCCCACCTCTCGGTGTTTGGCCTTGAACACGACGCCGTGCGCGCCCTCCCCGATGCGGCCCAGCACGATGTACTGGTCCATACTGGTAGCACTAGGCCGGCGCGGGGCATTGTGGGCCGGGGTCGGGCCTCCACAGACCCACAATACCCCGCGCGGCGCCTGCGACACCTGGTTGCCATGGCGATAGGCCCCGTCCCTGACAACGAGCTCTCTCAGCAGCCAATCGCGCTCCTAGTAATGCACTCCCTGGCAACAGGCCACGCCCCTAGCAATCTCTCACTGCTTCCTAACCACAAACCCCGTCCCTAACAACCCGATCAGGTCCCTAGCAACCAGACCCCGCCCCTAGCAACACAACTCACCCCTAGCAACACGGTCCAGGGCCCCGGCAACGAGGCCCCACACATAGCAACAGAGACCCTCCCCTTGGCAACCAGGCCGCGCCCCCCCGGCATCCCCCGCTCCCCGGCAACCGCGCCCTGCCCTTGGCAACGGCCGCCCCGTCGCGCGCCGCCATTTGGCCGCGCCGCGCTCTCATTGGTGGGCGCCGTCGCGCTGGGAGGCACGGCGGGCGTTGATAGGTGGGCGCGGGGGCCCCGCCCCTTTTCCCTTAGGCGGGCGGGCGGCGGCGGCGGCGCCGGGCGAGGCGCGAGCGGGGGTTTTGGGGGCATTTGGGGCTTTTTAGGGGGTCCTGGTACGCGCCCAACCCCTCTCGGGTCGGGATGGCGGCGTTGCCTCCGCGAGAGTTCGCGGCGCAGGTGCTGCCTGGCTGCGTGGTGCCCACGGCGCGCCAGGGCCTGGCCCAGCTCTGGCCGCTGCTGCTGCTCTGCCTCGGGGCGCGGCTGCTGCACCGGCTGCGTGAGTGGGACCAGAGCGGGGGGGGACGGGGGTTTGGTGCGGGGAAAGTGCTGGGGGACATCCGAGGGGCTGGGGGGAACCGGGGCTCTGGGGGAGAGTTGGGGGGATCTGGAGGGTTCCGGGTGCTGCAGCGGCTACGTGAGGGGCCGGGGCGGGTAGGGCCGGGAGGCCGGGAAGGGTTCGGAGGGTGGGGGATCATCCGGGGGTCTGGAGGAATCGGGGTTCCCGTGGCTTTTGGGGGCACGGGGGTGTCTGGGAGTTTCGGGGTCTGGGGGCATCCTGCGTAGCTGAGCGGTCCCGAAGGGTCGGGAGGAGCTGGGCGCTCCCCGGGGCGGGCGGGGTGAGAGGGGATCTCAGGGATCTGGATGGGCCTGGGGGCGGCCAAGGGAGTCTGGAGGGGCTCGGGAGGGGGGGGGGGGGTCTGGGGGGGCGGGGAAGATTCGGGGCTCTGGGCACAACCAGCGCTCTGGGGAGGGGTCCAGGGGTCACGCAGGGTTTTGGGATGAGGGGACACCCGGGAGTTTCGGGGGTGTTCCCAGGGTTTTGGAGTGCTCCCCTGACCCCTGTGTGGCACAGCCCTGCCGCGGGGGGGGAAGCACGCGGGGGCGGCGGCCGGGGGGCTCCTGGCCCTGCACCATTTCTTCGGGGCACAGGCGCTGTGGGTGGCCTTGCTGAGCGGGCTCTGCGTCCTCACCCTCCTCCTGAGCCGGGCCCGCGCCCAGAGAGGGCTCTGCCTTGCCCTGGCTGCTCTCAGCTATCTGCTTATGGGGTACGGGATGAAACCCACAGACTGGGGGCACTGGGAGGGGGGTTGAGGGGATTTGGGGCATTGGGAGAGGATTTAGGGGTGCTGGGAGGGGGTCTGGGGAGCTTCTGCTTCATCGTGGCTTGTCTCAGCTACCTACTCATGAGGAACAGGCTGCTAGGGACTCCGGGGAGGGGGTTTCGGGGTGCTGGGAGGGCATTTGGAGATGCTGGGAAAGGGACTGTGGGCAATGGGAGGGGTTTGGGGGCACTGGGAAAGGGATTAGGGGCAATGAGAGGAACTGGGAGGGGTTTGGGGGCACTGGGATGATGCTGGAAGCAACTGGAAGAGAAACTGGGCAGAAGTTGAGAAGAGCTGGTAGTAACTGGAAGGGATTGAGAGCAGTGAGTGGGAAGGAGATGGGGGGCACTGGGATGCACTGGGGTGTTGATTGAATTGAACTGGGAGTGACTGGGAGTCCCCCCAGGGAGCTGCACATGGTGGACACAGTCACCTGGCACAAAATGCGAGGTGAGACACCCACCCCTCCCCTCTCCCTGCAGGATCCCCAGATGCCCCCCCCGAGCCCCACAGACCCCATTTGCCCCCCATGCTTGGCCATCTGTCCAATTTTGGGGTCCTCCCTGATTTTGGGGTCCCGAAGTGGCAGAGATGGTGGTTCCCCTGAATGTGACACCCCTTCCCCCCAGCTACCCCCCACCTTTGAGGCCCCAGACCCCTGATTTTGGGGTGCCCCCAGTTTGGGGTCCCCATTGATTCTGGAGTCCCTAGGGGCACAGATGATGACAGACATGAAAGTGACCCTCTCCCTCCCCTGGGACTCCCATTACCTCCCCTCCCGTCCGCTGATCCCCCAGACCCCTGGGGAATCTGGGGCACCCCCCAATTTGGGGGTGCCCACTGATTTCGGGGTCCTCAGGGGCACAGATGGTGGTGGCCATGAAGGCTGTGTCGTTGGGCTTCGACTTGGACCGGGGGGCCGGGGGGGCACAGGGGGAGCCCAGCCCTGCCCAGGTCCTGGGGTACCTCTGCTCTCCCGGCTCCGTCGTCTTCGGGCCCTGGGAGCCCTTCGGGGCCTACCTGAGATCCGTGGAGGGGCCCCCCCTGGTATGGGGGAGGCAAATGGGGGGTTTGGGGGAGAATATGGGGGCGTGGGGGGGAAAATAGGGGATTTGGGGGGATAATGGGGAGTTTGGGGGAAAATGGAGATTGAGGGGTCAAAGGGATTTGGGAGGAGAAATGGGGAAAATGGGAGTTTGGGGGGGAAATGGGGATGCAGGGAGAAATTGGGGGAAAAAGGGGAGTTGGAGGAGAGAAGGGGATTGGGAGGAAGGGGAATGGAAAAGAAAGTGGGAAAGAAGAGTTTTGTGGAGAAGAATCTGGGGTTGGAGGGGGAAATAGGGGAAAAGAGGTTTGGGGGGATAAAAAAGGGAATGGGGAAAAGGAAAGGATGGGTTGGGGAAAAAGAGGAACTTTGAGGGGAAAAGGGGGATTTGGTGGAGAAAAAGGGGAGACTGGGTGTGCTTTAAGAAGTGTTGGAGGGACCTTAAGGAGCAGAAGGGGATTTTGTGGGAAACTAAGTGACGGGTTGGGCAGGTTTGGGGGCACTGAGGGTTTGGGAGGGTTGGAGGGGGTAGGGATGGGGTGGTTTGGGGAGGCTGAGGAGGTTTGCAGGGGACCTGGGGGTGTTGAGGAGTGCAAACAGGGATGAGGAGGGTGTCAGCGGTGGGATGCTGGCTTTTGGGGTGTTTCTTGGGGTGTCAGTGTCTGAGGGTGTCTCAGAGGGGACCAGTTTTTGGGGGATTTGGGGTGTCTCTGGGGGGTTTCAGGGTTTGGGGGGGGTGTCAGTGTTGGGGGGGTCGGTGTCGGGGGGCTCGGGGGTGTGCGTGGGGGGTGTCCATGCCCGGGGCCCCCCTCAACCCCCCCTGCTGCCCCCAGAGCGTGGCCTGGGCGAAGAAGGGGCTGCGCAGCCTGGGGCTGGCCCTGCTCTGCCTCCTGGTCAGCACCTGCCTGGCCCCGTTCCTGTTCTCCAGCCTCTTGCCTCTCTATGGGGCACGGGCCCTGCGCAGGTGAGACCCCAAAATCCCCCTGCAAAACATCCTGGGGCCCCAAACCCTCCCCAGGGTCCCCAATGTCCCCCAGGGAACCCTGACACCCTCCTGGGGGTACCTCAAATTCCCTGGGGACCCCTGAGCATCCAAAGGACCCCCAAACTCCCCTGGGGATGCCACCAGGGACTCCCAGACCCTCACCCCGGGACCTCTGGGCTGCCCCTCAGGAACCCTCAAACCACCTCAGTCCCCCCAAATCTTCCTGTGGATCCCCAAGCCGCCCTGGACCCCCTAAATTCCCCCAGGGACCCCCAAAACTCTTCCAGAAGCCCCCAAAACCCCCAATGATTTCCAAACCACACCAAGGGCCCCCAAAACTTCTGGAGGAGCCCCTGAAGCCCTTCCAAGGACCCCCAATTCCCTTCAGGGACCCCCCAAACCACAGTCCCAAACCCAAAATCCCCCTAAGGACTGCTGAACATCCCCTGGGGACCCTCAACTCCCCTCCAGGGACCCCCAAAATCCCCCAGGGACCCCCCCAACCCTCTCCCCGCACTGACATTTCTCTTCCCTCCGGTGCTGCCCAGGAGCATTTTTGCCAGGTGAGGGGGGGATTTTGGGGGGGCCTTGGGGTTGGGTAGGAGGGGTTTGGGGGGCCAAGAAGGGTTTGGAGGGGCCAGGAGGGGTTCAGGGGGCCAGGAGGGGTTTGAGGGTTCCCAGGGTGGGAGTGGCAGAGGAGTGGGGCACTTAGTGATTGGGGGGGGTTGGAGGGTCCTGGGGGGTTTGGGGAAGCCCTAGGGGATTTGGGGGGTCCCTGGGGGGGTGTGGGGACACAGGGGTCACTGAGGGGACAGGGATGGGAGGGACATTGAGGGAAACAGAGATGGGGGGTGGCACCTTAATGTGTGTCCCCCCCTAAATCCCCTCTGTGGCCCTCCAAACCCCGCCCCGTGTCTCCCCCAACCCCCTTATATTCCCTAAATCCCTTCCCAACCCCTGTTCCCTTCCACGTCCCCCTAAACCCGCAATTCTGCTCCCAAACTCCCCCATCACTACCAAATGCCTCCTAAACTCCTGCTTCTCCAACCCCCATGTCACCCCCAAATCCCTCAATGACCTCTCCAAATTCCCCCAAATCCCTGTTCCCCTAAAACTCCTTCCTGTTCCCCCAAACTCCTCCAAACACCCTCAAAACTCCTCCATTTCCCCCCCAAATCCCCCTAAACCCTTTCTGTGCTCCCAACTTTCCCATTTCCCCACCAATTCCTCCCTAAACCCTGAACTCCCCCATTTTCCTCCAACCTCTCCCCCAAACCCCCCCGTATCCCTCCCAAATCCCCCCCAAACTCCCCTGTGCCCCCCGGCTCCTCCCGGCTGCTAGGTGGCTCCGTGCCTACGAGAGTGCCCTCTCCTTCCACTTCAGCAACTACTTCGTGGCCTTCCTGTCCGAGGCCACAGCCACGCTGGCTGGGTCCGGCGCGTCCCTGCACCACGACCACCTGCACTGGTGAGGGGAGAGCGGGCCTGCCCTGGGGACACTGTCCCTGTGTGTGACACTGTCCCTGCATGTGTGACGCTGTCTCTGTGCGTGTGACGCTGTCTCTGTGCGTGTGACGCTGTCCCTGTGCGTTTGACACTGTCCCTGTGCGTGTGACGCTGTCCCTGTGCGTGTGACGCTGTCCCTGTGCGTGTGACACTGTCCCTGTGTGTGTGACACTGTCCCTGCGTTTGACACTGTCCCTGTGCGTGTGACGCTGTCCCTGTGCGTGTGACGCTGTCCCTGTGCGTGTGACGCTGTCTCTGTGCGTGTGACGCTGTCCCATGTGTGACACATCGTCCCCCCCAGGGACCTGGCGGTGTCCCGGCCCCTGCGGGTGGAGCTGCCACGATCCATGGCTGAGGTGGTGACAAACTGGAACCTGCCCATGTCCCGCTGGCTCCATACCTGTGAGCACTGGGAGGGACTGGGAGGCACTGTGGGGGGGGGCTGGTGGGCACTGGGAGGGACTGGGGGGCACTGGGGCTTGTACTGGTGTGACTGGTGTCCCTGGGCAGATGTGTTCCAGACCGCCCGGCGCTTGGGCACCTTCGCTGCTGTGCTGGGCACCTACGCGGCCAGCGCCCTGCTGCACGTGAGGGACCCCAAAATCCTGCCAAACCTCCCCAAAAACCACCCTGGGGACCCCCCAAAAGCCCCTCTGCACCCTGCTGCATGGGAGGGACCCCCAAAAACCCCTCAAACCCTACCTTTGTCTCCCTACACCTGAGACCCCCAGGACCCCAAATCCCCTCAGGCCCCCCCAACCCCCCATATTCGTCCTTAACCCCACCCTGGGGACCCCAAAACCCACCCTGGGACTCCTTGAAACCCCATCTAGAAACCTCAAAAACTGTGTGACACACCCAAACCCTGCTGGGCTCCCCTTAAATCCCCCCAGATCACCCCAGTTCAGCCTGTGACTCCCCCAAAGCCCCCCTCCCCAACCCTTCCTGTCCCCCCAGGGCCTCAGTTTCCACCTGGCCGCTGTGCTGCTGTCCCTGGGCCTCATCACCTACGCCGAGCACGGTCAGCGCTGGCCCTTTAAGGGGTGGGGCTAAATGAGGTTGGCTGAGGTGGGAGGGGCTTATAGGGTGGGGCACAGAGTGGGTGGAGCTTTAAATGTGGGCACGGCCTAAAGATATGGGTGGGTCCAGATATGGGCAGGGCTGAGGATGTACGCGAAGTTTCAATGCCCTAATTTAGAGTGAAGTGTGGGTCGGGCCTAAGTGGCGTGGGCGGGGCCAGGGGTTGGGCCTATGAATCTGGGCGAGGCCTCACCGCTGTGCCCAGACTGATGGGTGGAGCCTGTCAGAAATGGGTGGGGCTGGAAGGGTGTGGGTGGGGCCTGTCAGTAATAGGTGGGGCTAGAAAGGTGTGGGTGGAGCCTGGCCAATGCTATGGGGGTGTAACCTGTAATGGGTGTGGCCCATGCTGACCCCACCCTGCCCCACCCAGCCCTGAGGCAGCGCTTGGCTGCCATCTTTGACGCCTGTGTCCTGTCCAAGCGCTGTCCCCCCAGCTGCAGCCACCGCCATAAGAATGTGAGATTGGGGCACGTGAGAACGTGGGGGGGTCTCCGTGGAGGGAGGTTGTTGATTTTTGGGGGGCCCTGGGGAATGTGTGGGGGGTAGCAAAGGGGTTGGGCATCCCAGGGTGATCTCTGGGCTAGTTTGGGGGGTCCTAACGGGGAAAAAGGAGGTTGTGGAGAGCAGGATGGGGGATTTGGGGATCCCTGGGTGGGGGAATTTGGGGGTCGTGGGGAGGTAGGGGGTTTGTGGGGCTCTGAGGGGATTTGGTGGAGGGTTGGGGGGGTCCCTGGGGGCAGGGCAAGGGGATTCTGGGATCCCACAAGTGCTGTGGGTAAGAGCAATCAGTGGGGGGGTTTGGGGTCCCCACAGATGCTGTGGGCACAAGTGGTGAACACGAGGGGATTTGGAGGGTCCCTGCAGGGATTGAGGGGTCCCTGAAGGTTTTTGGTGTCCCTGCAGACACTGTGGGTGTGGGTGCTGAACGGGGCCCTGGGCGCCCTGGCCCTGTTCCACCTGTCCTACCTGGGCGCCCTGTTCGATGTGGAGGCCGAGGATGCTGTGGAGGAGCAGGTGGGACCCATGAGCCCCCCCAGACCCTTCCCAAGGTTGTCCCTGGTGTTTGGAACACCCTGACACCATCCTGTCCCCTCAGGGCTACGGGATGGCCTACACGGTGCGCAAGTGGTCAGAGCTGAACTGGGCCAGTCACTGGGTGACGCTGGCTTGCTGGGTGCTGGCCCGACTGCTGCGCTGAGGCTCGGGGAGGGCATCAGAGAGTACGGCCGCTCCGCCAGGTCGGGGGCCGCTCCGCAGCACCGGGAGCGCCTCTCAGCGCTCTCTTGCCGCCATTTCTCGGGCGGAAGTGACGCCGCGCGGCCGCTCTGGGACCAATAAAGCCTCGCCTCGATGGCTCCTGTCAATCATTCCTGGCCGGCCCCGGGACCGCTGGCGCATGCGCGGATGGGTTAACGGGGAGTGGCGCCCCCTGCCGATCGCGCACAGCCAACGCTTTGACCGAAAATGTCTTCATTTACATGAAAACCGCGGCGCGGGGCCATACGGGCCTTATAGGGACCTGGGTGCCAGCGGTCCCTATAGCCCCCGAGAGGGGGGAAGTGTCCATATGGCTGCTACTGAGGGGAGAGACTGAGGGGTCCATATAGTCCCTATAGAACCCCAGCTGGGGCACATGGCCCCTATAAAGCCTGCAGGGGGAAGGGGAGGGTCTGCACGTATTCTATAAGGCCCTGGAGGGCTGCAGACTGTCCCTATAGCGCCCAAGGGGGGGGGGGGGGGG